AATACTTAATCTTAATGGCAAATAACACTCATTATGCTTCAGCTGAATCCTCTAAGCAAATGACCATGTTGGACTGAAATAAGTTTATCACGTTAAATGTCCGAAATTGTATGAAATTGCTCCAGTGCGTTAAACCAATCTTTGCGCATAATCACACAGCCTGATATGCCTCGGCAAACACAGTGGGACTGCTGTACAGACCGTTGGTTTTTCTTACCCTAACCCTGGTTATTTTCTGAAAGCACAGAGCAAAGAAATGTCTTTTTTTTCTCCCCCGGTCTGTTGTCAGCAGAGAGCGGTGGCTGCAGCCTGGATTTCAGCACTACGGACGGCGAGCGTAAAAAGACTTGACAAGCGTCTCCTTTAAATGTGTTTGCTGCTAGTGAAATTATACATAGGCCTACTAAATGAAGACAGTGATATATTTTCAATAAAAAACAATGAGTTGAACGTTCATTTCAAGCTTTTGTAGTAGCCTACAGCGAATTTCAGAATTGTGCGAGTGATGGAGAGCGGGCGGCAGTGTTTGATGCAGGAAACTCGATATGGACTTGAAAATCAATTTCGGAGTGGGGGTCGTTCGGAACGGCGGTGTTTGGGAATGGAGGGCTGTCCCCCTTCAGGTTCATGCGGAAGTGACTCTGTGTGGTAGCGGTGACAGTTTTATTTCAGTCCATAACAGAAATCCTCGGCTCGTTTGAGCTTCAGAAATGATTTTGGAAATGTAGCTTGTGTGGACGCTACTGCGCTAAGTGATCATTAAAAGAGCTTAACTACTGAGAAGTTACTTGATTCAGAAAACAGCGACGCTACCACCAAGCTACTGAGAAATGTAGTTAAACTACAAATGTCCGCTACTGTAGTGACACTACTGCCCAACACTGGTTAATACATACCTTATTTCTTTTACTCACTATATAATTAACGATAGAAAGAGACTACATTGCTTTTTCCTGTGGACTGTTGGCACTTTTTCAGTCTGACTGGGGGCTATGTGATTGGCCACTGCAGTGTGACAACAGATAGCATTTCCAAAAGTTCAATGTGTTTCAACTTTTCGCTGCAAGCCACTGTGGTGAGGGGTGACTTTGCCTTCCCCTCGTCGCAGTCTAGATGCACTACTCGCATTTAAATGAATGGCTGGCTTGGAGATTTGGTGTGAATACATCCTAATGTATTTTCTGTTTGCCATCTACAATCTGAGCTCTCAACATAGTGGAACACTATGTGGGCAGTGGTATGAGATTTTGTAACCAGAAGTGTTCTGTTCCATTTGTAGTCTTGAAGTTTTGACCAGTTAGAATAGAATAGAATAGAATAGAATAGAATAGAATAGAATAGAACTCCCTCGCTTGAGGGAGGGAGCTCGGAGTAGAGCCGCTGCTCCTTCACATCGAAAGGGGTCAGTTGAGGTGGCTCGCACATCTGATCAGGACCTGCTGGGTGCCTCCCGCTGGAGGTGTTCCGGGCACGTCCCACTGGTAGGAGGCCCCGGGGCAGACCCAGAACACACTGGAGGGATTATATATCTCGTCTGGCCTGGTAATGCCTTGGGGTCCCCCAGGAGGAGCTGGAAAGTGTTGATGGGAAGAGGGATGTCTGGGGTGCTTCGCTTGGCCTGCTGCCCCCGCGACCCGGCCCCGGATAAGCGGATGAAAATGGATGGATGGATGGATGGATGGATGGATGGATGGATGGATGGATGGATGGAATGGAATAGAAAGAACTTTATTCATTCCCCAATGGAAATTCAGCTGTCCAGCAGCTCTTAAGAGACAAAAAACAACAACCACATTTCCCCACAACAACCACGTTTCCCCTCAACAACACAGTGGTATATCACATTTATTATAATTTAAGCAACAGGTCAACAGTCCCTGAGGAGAGCAAAAGAGGCAGAACACATTGGTGAAAATGCAGTCTTGGAACCTAATTCATTATGGTCTGGGCCTAGTATTTGAACACATTTAATCCAGATCAGAATTATCTAAATGGGATTAAATCTTAAAATTGGGTATTTCCAAAGCAGGAGATGTGATCCTGATCTCACAAACTGGTATACTGGTATACTTAATCAAATGTTTGGGAGGATTTCAAAACGCAGTGGAGATAGTTTTGATGACTTTTGCTAAAAATCAGGAAAAATCCTAATCACGAAAGGGTGGATTCAGCACAGATTTAAGGTGAATGTAGAGACATGTAGGACCTGTCGCACATTTTTAATCATTCTTGTATTCAATTCTTGCATATTGAAGTGAGACAGATAATGCCAAAGCAATATTCATTCTAAATTAATCAACTATTTAATACAAAATTTTCAAATAGAACACCAAAAAGAACTCCAAGATGCTGCATATTGCAACATAATTCTTGTGCTTCATAATATCAAGCAGGGCTTTTCATTGTGACTCCTCCAGCCTTAAGTAGATGGCCCTTACCTACCATGTTTATAGAGCACTTTTCTCAAACCCAACGAGCTTCAGAGGCAAAAACAAAACATCAGTAATAAATGCAGCAATAAGTACACCAGAGAGATGGTTATAAACAGCCCCAGCTAATTTACTCGTCCAAACATTTTCACATTTGCATTAATAAAATGTATTAATTTGACCATCAGATGCACACCTAGCCGAAGGCTGCAAAGATAGATTTTGTAATCCTAATCTTGTGGTATCTGAATTAGAATGATCCTATCTGTAAAATTACAAAAAAAGAGAGACATTACAAAATCCAGATCATTCTGGTCTGAACTAAGGTGAGAAACTCCAGGTGAAAACATTTTTTATCCATCAGTAAATTTTGAGATTTTGAGCTATTTCAGACTTCTTTCAGACAAGTGTAAGAAAATTGTCCAAAATACACATTTCGGTGTTTAATTTAGTTCAGCTTTCTATTGTAGAAATGTATGCAAATATTTAAGTAGATACTGCATGTTCATTTGAATATTCAAGAATTGTAATACAAAAAATAATTGTCAACTGGGGAAGTTTCATTGTGATATCTATAAGATAATTGTTTATGTCTTTGTGTATCAGTGATAGCCATGGCTGAAGGCATTAAGTTTTCAGGTTGTCCATCTGTTCACACATCAGTTTGTCCATCTGTTCATATGTACCTCCATCTGTCCCATTCTTGTGAACACGATATCTCAAGAACACCTCGATGGAATTTCTTCAAATTTGGCACAAACATCCACTTGGACTCAACAATGAACTGATTTGATTTTGATGGTCAAGGTCACTGTGACCTTGCATCCAGTGCTGGCCCATGGCATAGGCTGTACAGGCAAAAGCTAAGGGTGCAGTCATCCATAGGGGGCGCCACAAATGGGGGAAAGAAAAAAAATCTAAATGTTTATCTTTTACTATTTTTACTAATACTATTACTACTATTACTTTGAAATATTACATAAGGCCACAACAATATAACTACATAGCAAAGCCTACCTGCTGCCCCCTGGCCCCCCTCCCCAGTTTGTTACACTTTACCTTCCCTCTGGGGAGATGGGTGAGTTATCCAACATCACGTGAACCCCAAAACACGCTGTACCATTATCATGTCAAAACGATCAATGCTGTCTGATGCCCACTCACCCACCACTACACTACTGAGACGAGTGAATGTGGAGAGAAAAAAACATGAAATTTAAAAACAAAAACAAATCTGTGTTGAAATTCTGAACGCGGTTTCTCAACAATACTATGATGTAATTTCTTCAGATTTGTTACAAACTTTAACTTGGACTGAAGAATGAACTGATTAGAGTTTGGTGGTCAAAGATCAAGGTCACTGTGACCTCCCAAAACATGTTTTTGGCCATAACTCAAGAATTCATACGTTAATTATGACAAAACTTCACACAAATGTCTAATAGGATAAAATGTTGACATGGATGTAAACTGTAAGTGTAACTTGGCTGGTTCACCGAGACATACAACCATGAAGCGGTAATTCTAGTTTAGCCTAGTGTCTTATTTTAGGTCTGACAATGTATGGAATTTCACACTACATTTTTTTAAAGGCTGTTGTCTTAAAATTAAATTTTCTCACTCTCTGATCCAAAAATCTTCAGAAGCACAGACCCAGCTTTACAGTCTTATTTCTGTCTATATGAGGGGTTTATTTATATGTCATTCATAGCCTGATGTCTAGAAAATTTTGTTCCTTAAAACATAACAAAAATGTTTGTTTTTTATGGTCATTAGCAGTATTTACTGATATTAAAATGAGATATCCAAAATTCCCTCTGTAAAAACATTTGACTCTAATTTGACAACAAAATGAAAAAAGAATTTTAAACCCTTTATCCAATGTTCAGATTTTTGTTCTGGAAACTCATGGAAATCAGCACATATATCGTTAGATAATGCCTAGTATTTAAGCACACAATTTCAGAAAACTTGTAATATAAAAACAACTTGTCTTAATGTAAATAATGAACTAGGAAAGTTTCATGGTGGTATTTACTGGATAAAGAATTTACCCTGTTTACTTGGGGTGTCTCCCAGTTTAGCATTTTCATTTATTTGTCAGCATTTATATGCAGATATCTGTTTATAGAGAGTAGCCAAAATGACTGCCACACAGAAGAGGAAGTCTTGGCTGGACATTTGCTGGCTTCACTGGAAACCCCCCAAAAAATGTCTGTTGCTCCAAAGCTTATTGTCATCAGGCGATAAATTACTGCTGCTGTGCCATCCCTGCGTAAAATTAGCAAAGCCATCTCTCAAATCAGAGACTGTAGATGACAACTGTTTATCATTCTTAAAGCTGTGTGATGACTATTTCAGCCTGTCCAAAGTCGTCATATACCGCCGCTTTGTCAGTGATTTTGGTGAGAGGTCTGCATGAGTGCATCTCTGCCAACTGAAGCCACCAAAGTTGTCTTGCATCCGCACTAAAAGGCGGTCTAAGCACACTGCACTGCACTGCGCCAGCTGACAAATGATATTTGATATTCTACTAAAATGTCTGGGTAACTGTTCCTGTTGTTTTCTCAGGGTAAGTCAGTGGTGATGCAGTATCCTGTCTATGGTCAAGTCTTCATCGGGCTGCTGCTGGTGTCATCAGTCAGCTGTGTTCCCCTCACAGCTCTGTATGTCTACTGCAGAAAGAGGAAAGGTGGTAACTATCACCAGAAGCAGCAGGCTGTCAACACAGCATCTAGTTATCGACCAGAAGATGACAGGGACTAACCTCCCAACATCACCTGCTTTCCTCAACACCTCCTGTCTCGGTCATTTAGCTGGCCTATCTATGTCCTTCATTGCAGCTGTACTGCTGCAATAAATGCAGCAGTACAGTATTTATTGGTTTGGGGTATTTTGAGGGGAATGTATTACTGTACATTTTTTCCTCATTATTAAATCACACTTATGATTCTAATAAAAACTCTGCACATTGAAAGATATTCAAGTTCAACTGTGCAACATGATATTATTGCAGATATTTTGTTTACTCTCCAAACATTTAGATTGAATAAAGTTGTAATTTACCACTTTTATATGATGCTAGTTTACTAAATTATCATAATGTGATGAATGTATGAAATTGTTTAGTTTACACAGTGGGTTATGTTTGAGTATGTTAATCATTTTTTCACATCTTATACAGTTTAAATGTCTTAAGTAAAATGTCTTTTACATTCAGCCTTAAATTATAATTTTTCTTATTACTGGAGTGAGCTAATTCAGGTTCAAATCAAGTTTATTTGTAGAGAAACTAAATACCAAATGGGATTACAGTTCAGCAATAGGATTATGGAAAGTCCGGTAATACTGCCTCTAGTAACACTTGTTCTTACAGTTTCCCTTGTTTCAGGAAGTTTCTAAAAGTAAGAGTCAGTAGTTAAAAAAAAAAGAAAAGACCGGTACCAAAATAATTTCACCTCCTGGGCACTGCCGAGGTGCCCCTGAGCAAGGCACCGAACCCCCCAACCGCTTGGAGCGCCTGTCATGGGCAGCCCACTCTGACATCTCTCCACTTAGTGCATGTATAGGTCCAGTTTGTGCATGTGTGTGTTCGGACCTGTGTGTAATTGACAAACAGAGTGAAAAATTGAATTTCCCCTTGGGGATTAATAAAGTATATAAAGTTAAAAAAAAGTTAAAGTTAATAGACTGATAAAAGTGTAGATGGCTTGTAATTAGTTGTCTGAATTAGTTGTCTGGTAAGTTGATTTATGTGTGTGCTCTTTTGTAAGAAGGTTGTACAAATGATCTGTTTTCCTATATAAATAGTATTATAGTACTAGTTTTATATCTGTTTTAAAGGGGCTGGCATCTGCTATCATCTTATCTGTAAGAGATGTAGGCTATGTTAAACAGAGAACACATAATGTCACTTTTATTTATGTGTATCCTCTAATGATCTGATTAGAATTGTGTGTGTGTGTGTGTGTGTGTGTGTGTGTGTGTGTGTGTGTGTGATATTGGCTTAATTAGTAACTACCACAGATGAACTGCCATCAAATCAAAAGTGCCATTAACATATAATATCTCACAAGTAATATTCTAATAATTTTGTTATTCTTCAGCTTTTTATTTTCATGCTGAATAGCAAATGGTGATCCCTTTTTTATTAAAGAAAAATTAGGTTAGTAATGGACATGCAGTGTGTGTGAGTGTGTGCTTGTGTAATATGCAAACATCCATTTCAGTTTCATGGAAGGATGAACTTGCCATTTGCAGATACTTGTAACTACTTTGAGCAACCCAAACTACAGTGAATTATGTATTGCTTCCTACATTTCTGGTCATACACGAATATAGCATCAGTAAAATTGCCATAGAACAGTAGATGTAACAAATTGTGTTTGGACCCAAATACAGCACATAGGAAACCAGGAACAGTTGGTAATGATGTTTAATGCCACAGCACAGTAGGTACAGGAGGGAGCGTACCTATGTTCCCCGGGTTCTATGTTCCCCGGGTCTTATGTTCCCCGCTTTGTATGGGACCCCAAAAGGGTCCTATGTTCCCCGCTTTGTATGGGACCGGGGAACATAGAACCCTTTTTAATAATAAGGGTTCTATGTTCCCCGCTTTTCCCCAAAAGGACCCGGGGAACATAGGCCCTTTTTTTTAAAAAAGGGTCCTAACCCCTAACCCCTAACCCCTAACCCTAACCCCTTTTTCTCAAAAGGGTCCTATGTTCCCCAGCAACAGCGGACCGGGGAACATAGAACCCTTTTTAAGAAAAAGGGTTCTATGTTCCCCGGTCCCATACAAAGTGGGGAACATATTTCCTTTTGGGGAAAGCGGGGAACATAGGACCCTTTTTTTTTTAAAGGGTCCTATGTTCCCCGATCGGGGAACATAGAACCCAGGGAACATAGAACCCAGGGAATATAGGGATGACCCCGGTACGGGACAGGGCAGGTAATCAGCACACGTTACATTTCAACACTTCAGCAAAGTATCTTCACAAAGTCTCTGGCAGCCTGGCTGGTCCAACAGGCTGATCCAGACCAGGAGGCGGGTGAGTGGGCAGGGACATTTGCCCAAACACACAGAGTTCAGTTCAGCAACAGGCAACAGTACCATGAATAAGCAGGCAGGGGACATAGTTGTGGAGGCAGAAGATCCAACACCAGGTAAGTACACAGTCCAAGCAGACGAATCAGTAGGTGACAAGCAGAAGGTAGGTCGAGGCCAGGCAGAGGATCTAGCCAACAGGTAGGTACTCCCAGGACTCACACACAATGGCCGGTGTGGCAACACAATGAAATTCTGACAGGAAACCACAGACAAGCAGACAGGAGCGCTCAAACTGTAGCGTTGTGGTCAGACAGAAACAGCAAACAGTAACCAAGGATGCAGAAGCAGATCTTGAGGTCAGGGACAGAGGGATGATGCGTTTACCAGGAATAAGATGAGGCAGCCAGGGTTGGCAATCATCAATCAGTCTGAAATAAAGTACGAGAGTGTCTTGCACAAGTGAATAAGAACAATCTGTCAAAGAGTGTCTGTAAGGCTGGGGTATATATACTGGCTGTGTGTAATCAGGAACAGGTGAATGAAGTTGCCTTGATGAGGTGGGTGCGACTGATTCTGAGGGATGGGAAAACGTGAATGGAAAACTGCTGAATGGTACCTGTGTGCCTGGTTAGGCAGAAGTGAGCAGGTGATGAGTAATGCAGAACTGTGACAGAAGAAGTAATGTTGAGCCTGAAAGTTCACCCTTGACCTCAGAAATAGTAGCTGACAAAATAATTCTCAATATAAGGTCCAATGCACTTGTGATTTCCTTGCAGTTTGAGTTGAGTTTTCAAGCACAGCTCTTGACATTCTTCAGCAGATGAAAGTGGTTTCATGGGTTGTTGTATATGTAGCAATTCTAACCAATCCTATTCCTCGTGCCTAAATTTTACCAATACAACCAATGAAAGCAATGAGTACTAGCCAATCACAGGGAAAGTATTGGAAAAATTTGCATCCTGGAAGGTGCTCAAGACTGCGTTGTGTAGTGCAGACTGTTGGGTGGCCTCTGATTGGCCTGACTATTTCTTGACCTCTCGAATCACTGGGGGCATGCGTCATAGTTTGTTGACCTCAGCAAAGTTGCCACGTTTTTTGCTTGGTAGCCATTTTCGAATTGAGTAAAGCAGTGATCCAGAGGGTTTATTTCCACTGTGGCACAGTCAATGGCCCTCATTTATCAAACGAACGTATGGCAGAAAACTGTGCGCACAACCATTTCCACGCAAGGCTCGGCATTTATCAATTTGGACGTGAGCGGACGCTACGATCAAATCTCAAGTCAGGTCTCAGCTGGTGTACGCAAGTTTGAGTCAGTGTGGATTTGTGGTGCAGCACAGCAAGATCTGGCTGAGTCTGAAAATGATTATTAAACAAACCTCAAACTTGTCATCTAAGCATAAGCAGCCACATATTCAGTACATATTTAAAAAGGATTCCCAAAATGAATACAACAAAATGAAATAAAATAGCCATGAATGATTACGCATTCATCAATTGCAAAAATTACCACTCTATTAACTTACAGGTAATTTGTGATGCCAGGCTATCACTACTAAACGTGGTAGCCAAGTGGCCGGGGGGATGCACGACTCATTTATATTCCATAACAGTAGCGTGGGCGCACGGCTACAGGAGGGCGCACTGCAGAGCTGGAGTCATCTCCTCGATAAGTAAACTGTGTTAAATAAATCTAAACAAGTAGGCTATTAAATGACAACATTCTGGTATGGTTCTTGTTCTATGTGACAAAGGTTATCCCCTCAATATCTTATAACGCTGCTGGCAAACCCTGCCACAGAGCAGGAGCGCAGGTTTAACAGTGCGCACACATGCACACGGGTCACGGTGGAGAGCTGCTTCGGGTTGCTCAAGTGGCTCTGTCTTGGACCAGCGGGGGGAACGCTGCTGTATACCCCAGGAAAGGTGTGCGACAACATTTTGGCCTGTGCAGTTTTGCACAATATTGCTTTAGACAATGGAGTGCCGTTTGATGTGCCGGCGCAGCCAGATAAACCAATGCAGGGAACCGTGGCCAGCACAGCCTCCACTGGGGGCTATGCAGAGGAGACAGGACCTCATTCATCGCTTCTAAAATGTAAAGTAGGCTATACCTTAAAGTTGTGTAAGTGCCCTACAGTATTTAAATAGTAATGTAATGCAAATATAGCCTATAGGGCTACTAGCTAAAGGGACATGCAATACAGACAATGGACAACGTATAGTCATTTCTTGTTAATTTCTTTTAGCGTGTTATTAATTGCCTTAAGCGTGCTAACAACTGAAGCCAATAAATGGCATATTTCTGTCTGCCTTTCCAGGACCTCTGCCATGATGATTGGCCCAGCATGGGAGGCGGAGGGCACGCGCTCGCCCTCGGTTGCCTGGCTTGGTGGGTCTGGCTCGGTGGGACCACTCTGGGGAGAAGACCTGGATGCCATGCTGCTGGTGCCTGGCTCTGAAACAGCATATAAACGAAACAATAAAAATGTGTACCTGTGTAACATGTGTAAGCCTATTTATTTGGACAATAGTAATAGCCAAAATTTGGCCAAAATTCAATTACAATCAGGGAATAACCCACACACTTGTAGCTTTTCAGGTGCAATCAATCAATTGATATATAGGTATAACTAGCATAAATCATATTGCATAAAGATGCACGATGGCTTATTTGGCACTATTAGAAGATGCTGCGCATGGGAGACTCCGGAGGGAACGGATCTTCAGGGACCCAGCAAGACCCTCTGGCCAATGATGATGAGTGGCTCATAAGCCGGTTCTGACTGCCACGTACAGTGCTGCTGAGATCTCTGCACTGTGCTGGGCCCGGTGTTACAAAGGAGCACCCACAAGTCCGAGCTGTGCCGGTCCCCCGTCAAGTGCTGATAACATTGGGGTTTCTGGCCACCAGCACCTTTCAGAGGGAATTGGCTGACAGGTTAAGGATATCACAGCCAACCTTTAGCTGTATTATGCCAGACGTGTTAGAAGGTATTACTGGGTTGTCACAGCGGTGCATAAAGTATCCTTACACGGTGGGTGAACATGCCAATAAAAAAGCGCAATTTGCAGCAAAGTCTGGTTTCCCAAATGTAATCGGTGCTATTGACTGCACTGTGTAGTTGCTATAAGGGCGCCTACTGAGAATGAATTTGCTTTCATTAATTGCAAGCATTTTCATTCTCTAAATGTTCAAATTATATGTGATGCGGATATGTTGCTCACAAATGTAGTGGTTCGGTGGCCTGGGTCAACCCATGATTCCTTCATATTGAGACAGTGTGGGGCTCCGACTTGAGACTGGAGCTGTGCGTGATGGCTGGCTTCTAGGTAGGGATAATTAGAATGATATTTATTCAACGTACGCCACGGCCAGGCACATGCTGTTGTGGAGCGGACCATCGGGCTACTGAAGGGCAGATGGCGTCACCTGGATGCCACAGGAGGGAGACTTACAGGCCCGAAAAGGTCTGCAAAATTGTCAGGGCGTGTGCTGTGTTGCACAATGTGGCACAGCTAAAAAACATGCCACTACCACCTGTTGTCCCCAACCCCGAGCCAAATGCTGCTGCTGTGCACCTTGTTCTTGTTAGATGTCATGCATCCCTTAACACAAGAGGTATGTTAAGAAATCACTTAAGTCAAGAAAATCAGATTGTCAAACAACGCTATGGCACAGGAGGTAATTAGGAGGTGATGGTCCATACCGCATTGCCCATTTAATGATTTCAGAAAGAGAAACTCCAGCAGTCAGCTCGAAAGGTCTCTCAGTTTTCTGTTTAAACTAATCACCACAAATGGGAATTGCACTTTCTCATGTGCCCACACTACCACTGTTTGAACTAAAATCAATTAATGAATCCTTGGGTGCATGGTGTTTTGTCTGTCACACTCTGCTGCCCTGGCTCACTCACCTCCTGTCTTACCACCTCATTAGCGCCAATCTCCTCCACCTGTGCACCTGTCCTCAGCTGCTGCTCATCACCACTCATCAGCCAGCCAGTATTTTAACAGCACAGTTCCTCTCACTCATTGCCAGATTGTCTTCACAGCATGCAATACTCTCCAGCGCTCTTCCTTGGTTTGATCTCCCAGTTTCGACTCCGCTCGCCTCATCCTCGTCTCTGCCCTGGTAAACCTAACTGCCTTCTGCCTTTGACTACAAGTTCAGCCTGTGTGCTCCTGGTTCTCGTCTGCCTGTGGCTGTTTGGCGTTACCACTCCGGCTTTCCTGGGAGAAATCCCCTGCCGTTCTGTCGCCATCTGAGCTGCCAGCCTGCAACACATCCCCTCTGTAAGTGCTTCTGGCTCACTTGTCTTCCTGTTTAAAACCCTGCTCCTGCTTGCACTACACCCAGTCTGCCCTTTGGTTGGGTGGGATTATAGTTGCCTTTCACATGCGAGATGTGGGTTTGCTTCCCGGCCTTGGCTTAGTTTTCAAGACTGAAGAACTTTTGCATAAACTGTTAATGTTTTGCTGCTGTCTTATCGCTAAGACTTTGAATTAAAATTATTGCTATTACACTGCTGGTGTGTTGTGCTGCTCTTGGGTCCTGCCTCAGTCTGTGACAGTCTGGATGAATTTGGTAAATGATAGAGATACGTGTGGAAAAACCCAGCGCTGAGAGAATCATACAAACAAATTGGGAACGCTGATCTACTGGGTGAAGTTTCCTACTGCAGGAAGTCATTTAAATGGAATACATAAAGAAAGCAAACAGACAAATTTTTTAATTTTTTTAACTTTATATACTTTATTAATCCCCAAGGGGAAATTCAATTTTTCACTCTGTCAATTACACACAGGTCCGAACACACACATGCACAAACAGGACCTATACATGCACTAAGCGGAGAGATGTCAGAGTGGGCTGCCCATGACAGGCGCTCTGAGCAGCTGGGGGGTTCGGTGCCTTGCTCAGGGGCACCTCGGCAGTGCCCAGGAGGTGAACTGGCACCTCTCCAGCTACCAGTCCACGCTCCATATTTTTGGTCCGGACGGGGACTTGAACAGGCAACCCTCCGGTTCCCAACCCAAGTCCCTATGGATTGAGCTACTGATTAAAAAAAATTAAAATTAAAAAATTTATCTGTTTGCTTTCTTTATGTATTCCATTTAAATGACTTCCTGCAGTAGGAAACTTCACCCAGTAGATGGACTACTGATTGAAACAAACTATTTATTCACCATCAGTTACAGTGTGCAGTTTGTAAGACAATACTGCCTTATTGCTCGTAACTCCCTGGCAACCTCGTTTGACTGTATGGTTTCTCATTGGATCTGCAGGACTGAATTGGTGAGGACACGTCCACTGCTGCTGGATGGCTGAGGCCGCTGGCCACACTCTGCTGGGCTGCATCACCAACCTGACTGGAACACCCAGGGACTACAAGAGAAATTTTGAATAAAGTAAATTGTTTTGGATAATGTGTTTTAATACAACTTCAGTGCACATGATTTACACATTTCAAGCGATACTCAAATTACTTGAGTCGCGCAGTACGTCAGCCGCCTCTGTGACCACTCCACTCAGGAGGGATTTGCCGATGATCTCCACTAGTTTCTCATCCAGGGGTGTGAGCTCCGGTGTCACCTTTCCCCCACCGGTGGAGTGCACACTCTGCCTGTGTAAGGCTATGTGCTTTTTGGCCTCCGCCTTGATATTGGACCATTTCTTCTTACCCTCTGCAACAGTCCGACCTTCTGAGGCCACAGCATTTGCGGCATCTGCCACCAGCAGCCATGCTGCTTGCCTTTTTAGCATTGGTAATGCCCATATTGAGCCCACCAAACAACTTTTTCTTTTCAACTTCTCCAAGAACTTCTACTTCATACTTTTTTTTTTTTTTTCCTTTTTTAACCCTTAGATGCATGACCTACCAATACCTACACTCTTCCATAAGTGGGGTCAAATGACCTCAATTAGAATCAATGCGTTTGTGATAAACTTAAGCAATTTCTTTCATTTTGGTTAAAGATGATTTGTATTATATTTTGGTCAAGAGATTTTTTTTGTTTGACATGTTCATTTATCATTTTAGCAACTAATGACATCATTGAATAATCAATAGTATAATAGGCTACCTAACGGGTTAGATTTTATTACAAGGAAGCTATAAATATAGTAAGTCTGCTTAACTCTACACAACAAATGCAGTAATGTTACCACACAATAGCATAAAAGGCTAACACGCACACGCGTGTGCGTACACACACACACACAAATGGCTAGATTTTATTACAAGGAAGCTATAAATATAGTAAGGCTGCTTATCTCTACACAACAAATGCAGTAGTGTTAGCTAGCTAACATTACAGTACTAACATTACATAGTAGTTAGCTAACTAGTACCTACATTGTAGTTAGCTAACACTAGCTAGCTTAGTTAGCTAATGTTAGCTAACTACAAAGTAGGCTGATTTTGATGACAATACTATACGTTATCACACAAAAGTCATGGATGTGGAAAATAAGTTCATATTTTATTATGTCATATGTATTCCAAGATTAAAAACAAATATAATACTTAGATGTATGGTGCTGTATAAAAATCCTCCTGGGTGGTGAGACTGCGGGCATTAGATGTGTAAATGCGACGGTAAATGAATACCTGACAGTCACAGTTGATAAGAATCAAAGATTCCTAGGTCTAACCCTTGATATTCCATAGGAAATGCTTGGGGTCATTTTTGACCCCACTTATGGAAGAGTGGGGTAGCGATATAAAAACAACAATTTCTTAATGTATATAATTTTTTTTTTTAATGCAAATGGCCTCATGTCAAAAACATGTTTTATGAGGAACACCTGGAATATGAAATGATAAAAACTTTTAATTCCATAGATATTGAAAAAAACCCCTGGGGTCATTTTTGACCTCACTTATGCATCTAAGGGTTAACCCATTCTCACAGCGTTTGCCATGATCTTCCTCCTGCTGTTTCTTGTTGGAATATTAAGGGCGTTTCACTGGCCATTTAGTCACCTTTGGGTGTGGCAAGACACTCGTTCACCTGCACCAAATGTCGAGTTGATTGTGATTTATAAAGGCAAACAGGCTTGGGACATGTGTGCGCACTGTTATAAATCAGGATATTTGTTTGCGTAAGCACTTTCTGTGCTTTGAGAACTTCAGCTGGCTTCAGATCAGCATGACTGCTAAATGGGAAACACCAGAAGTGAGATCCCTTATGCAGCTCATTTAACTGGAGTCTTCAAGTCAGCACTAATTACAAACCATTGAGCACCTCAAGTTTTCTGCTTGGACACCCTGGGAATGGGAGTGGTGTATGACATCATTATGACATCACATGGGACATGCTCTGGGGAGCACTCCATTAGTAAAACCAGTGATGCCAATTTAGCAATTTGGTTGCCAGATTTAGCAGTTTTTCAGACTACACTGGCAGCTTTGTTTTCCCCTAAAAAAACACCTTGTGGCAGATTTAGCTCCTTTTAAAATTCATTTGGAAACTATTGCTTGTATGAAGACATCTGGATGCAATATTTTAATGAATGGAGTGAAGTTCTTTGGTGTCTTGCAGGTTTGACCTGTGGCAGCTCACCCACCAGATCTCTCTCTTCCTGCTCAGTGAGGCTAATCTGATCAGGCATTTTAAGCTTGTTTTCACATAATCGATCCCCATCCCATTAAATAAGCCAGAATTTTTAGTATTGCCAACGGTAACAGTAGTTAACTCTTTTACCAAAGGGAGTATCAAAATGAACTCCAAAGTAGGTTAATATACACTAAAAGACATGCATTCAAATGATTAGGTAAAAGTACGAAACAGTATTCACAGTCAAATGTACACCATTATGGGTAAAGGTACTAATTGTGGGAAATTATTTACAGTTATTGATACATTAGGCCAAATGTGTAATGTGCAGGGATGGGAAGAGTATGGGGTGCCATTTGTAAAGTGGCTCTCACTGAAATTAACAGCAACATTTTGCCACATTTAGCTTCAAACATTTAAAAAAGTGATGTGATTTTTTTAAAGTCACTTTTTACCACATTTACAGCAATATTTGAAATATGTTAAATATAATGTCAAAGTTAAAACTAAATATTGAATGTTAAACCTAAATGTTAAATCTAAATCTAAATGTTAAAACTAAATGTTAAATATAAATCTAAATGTTACATCTAAATCTAAATATTAAATCTAAATATAAATATTAAATGTAAATCTAAATGTTAAATCGAATCTAAATGTTAATTAAATGTACTTGGTGAAACTAAATATTTAGCTAATATGCAAATACACACTGCCGGTTACCGAAAGTATCAAAATAAAAGCCTGGGTGGTAAGACTGTGTTTATAGCATCAAATAATGAATTAAAACCAAACTAATTGGAGAAAATGAACACTTGAACATACACCAGTGTGATAAGAACTACCTACAATGACAGAAACCATGTTTGGGGAAATTTTATTTGACTTGTACTCTGAGTTTTTAGTGTCCCATCTGCTAACATGGAGGGCGCAGAATTTACACTCCACTGTCGGTCATTTTCTCCATGCTCTCCTTGCTTGCCAACATGTCAGGCGATTTAGCTGAAAACATTGGAAGGGCCGTTTTGGCCGCAATTTAGAATTTCAGCAGTGCATCGTTGGCGACAGCGACAGTATCCACCATAGAGCCACCATAGCACTCGGTACATTTGTTTTCTAACTAGCGTAGCATACGTCTTATGACGTGCTGGCGTTCTACGGTAAGTGTGTTGTGTGATTTCCATCTAGTTTTCTGATTTTCCTCACTTCAACTGCTAACCATCTACTTCACGTTTTAAGCCACACTAGTTCCGTTTAAGCACTCATAGCTCTCCTCTTCTTTCAACAACTTGCTAATCTTAGCTGTTGTTTACACGCTATTAGCCTTGTTAGCTACGTTAGCTTAACAGTTGTGATGGCTTCTTCTCCTTCTCTCTCTTGCTCTGTGTGCCAGATGTTTAGCTATTCTTCTGCTTCCTTTAGCGACAGTGGTACATTTAACAAATGTAGTTTATTTGCTGAATTGGAGGCGAGGCTTAGTGAATTGGAAGCGCAGCTCCGCACCATGGAAAATCACTCTGTAGCTGCGGTAGTTAGCCAGCCCCCTGTAGCCGGCACAGGGCCACATAGCATAGCCTCCGCTAGCGGTCCCCTGGTGACCCCCATGCAGCCAGGAGGTTGGGTAACTGTCCGAGAGAAGTGTAGTTGAAGCCCACGGTTCACCACAAGTCTCTTCACCGTTTTTCCACACTCAGCGACACACCCGCTGAGGAGAAAACTCTGGTGATTGGCAGCTCTATTCTGAGAAATGTGAAGTCAGCAACACCAGCAACCATAGTCAAATGGATTCCTTGGGGCCAGAGCGGGTGACATTGAATCAAATTTAAAACTGCCGGCAAAGGCTAAATGTAGATTAATTAGGGCCCAAGCGATGATGAAGTCGTCCATGAGGACCCTATTGTAATCGCGCTGTTTATTATTATTAGGGCCCGAGCGACGACAAAGTCGTCCGCATAAGACCCTATTGTGATCGCGTTGTTTATTATTATTAGGGCCCAAGCACTGACCGAAGGCCGGGCGAAAGCCCTCTTGAAACTGAAGGAATTATTGTTAGGGCCCGAGCACCTAGCGGTGCGAGGACCCTATTGAAATGCAAGGATTTTTAGGGCCAGAGCGATGACTAAGTCGTCCGTGAGGACCCTATTGTAATCGCGCTGTTTATTATTATTATTAGGGCCCGAGCGACGACAAAGTCGTCCACGGAGGACCCTATTGAAATCGCGCTGTTTATTAGGGTCTGAGCGACGACGAAGTTGTCCGTAGGACCCTACTGTAATCTACTGTAAACTCCATTTTGTGGCCACATGACGATCAAGCTGATGAATCTCCACAGTGACACACGTGTCCTGTCATGTTGCAGGCCGCAGCAGTGGCGACTTTTCATCCTTCGCCACGGAACATCAACTTGATATAAATCCTTCATGTATTGTCCGATTTGCTTGAAATTTCACATGTGTGATGAGGGTCCACCCCTGAACGCACCTGCCCACATCTGGTTTCGCTCATGCCGCCCCCTTGTGGAAACAGGAAATGCCCTATTATACATTGACATTGTCAGATTTGCTCGAAACTTCACATGTGTGATGACGGTCCGTACCTGGCCACATCTGGTTACGCTCATAGCGCCACCTGGTGGATGAACTAAACATTGCGTTTTTTTCGCTCCTGCCAGGTGTTTTCTCCCTTCTCGCGTCGCGCCACAACCCCCACGTGCCTCAGGCCCCCACGGTTACATGGGGGAGCGAGGGCTGTAATTAGGGACCGAGCCCTAAGGCAGAGGACTGCTCACAGAGCAGTCCTCGCCAAAGGCGAGGACCCTCTTGTTTTTGCTGCGTGCGTTTATTGTGGACCGACTCCAACAGTAGTGG